CACTAACAGATACGGTGTAATGAATATAGCGTTTTGGAGGAACATTTGTTGCATTTAGCAGATTACAGCTAATTGAACGGAAAAAAACAATGCGAGAACATGATCATATAAGAACACTAAGACAAAAACGAAGAATGCAATAAAATGATTTGGATATATCGAAGCATGACAACGACGCGTACGCTTTTAGCACCGAGTTCTATTAAAAACTAATCCGCTGTTATCGCCATTTGTTAGCTCTATTTTACTTGCAATAATACTTTGGTCACTTTGAAATTGAGTCACATTTTGTGGACAGAAGTTGAAATAAGGCATCCAGTCATGACATACACATGAAACAACACAACGAGTGTCAATAGTAATGCAGGAGCATATTCCACTTTTGGAACATCAGGACTACCATAGTTTTATGTTGGGGGGGAGAGGTGAAGGGGTGGCTTTATCTTAAGTCATACAAGTGGGTGTTTTAGGTTTAACCCACTATTTTCTTCGAAAAAAGTATGTACCTTGTCAGGAATATGACAGTTGATGTTCACTTGTTCCGTCGTTGATAGCGTTTGATTTTGTTAGTTTTCATAAACTTCCTTTTTTAAATTTTCCTAGGATTTCGGTAATTTTGTTATTTTTTTTTCAACTGTAAATGCGTATTTGTTTTTTTGTCTTATTCTTTAATCCCTTATACATGCTATCTTTCTTTGCCATACAGTTTTCAATTTAAGTCATTGATTTTACACATTTCTTTGTGTTTGTGGACCATGTTCTGATAATGTCGCACAGAAATCGTTTGGTTAAACACAATGTATTATATACCACAATAGGAAACACAAATCCTCCAATGGTCTGAAAGATATATCTCCTTCATGCCAAATAACATTGTTTTCCTTTACATTTAAATGAAAATTTGACAATGGATATATGAAAATAAAAATCGCTTTAAGTGAAATTTAGTTCTTATTCATCATTTGTACTTACCGTAACCGTATCTGCTTAATTCTTTGAGGAATTAAATAATTTGCCAGATCAATTTGTGAAGGGGTAACTATCATTAGAACTTGAAACCAAAAAGTGTAATTGAATTGTTAAATAAAATTGGAGTAGATTATTATCCCCATGCAATTTAAGAATACTTTTGATTTTAACTAACTGACAATGTAACATTATATATTCATAATACCGGAGTGGATATCAATTTCTATTTATATTAAGACCTTGTATTTTGCTGGAAGATTCAGTCTCAGGAAAGTGTCAATTTATATATTTTTTTATTTATGTAGTTCTTTTCTATTTTATGTTTGTGTTGTTTTTTTTTTCATTTAAAGTCATATGAAACTTCAAATTTAAAAAAAAGGTTTTTTTTTACTCGAATAACTGAGTTATACTCTAAAAGATGTCAACGTGAACGTTATTTTTTTCTAGAAAATTCTTAACGTTATCAAACTCTTCATAAATGTACCGAAATTAATTTATTGACTTCCCAAACACCAATTCGCCGATATTTTTTCCGTATGAAGTTACATTCACTACGAGACCTCTCATTAAAACTTTGGCCACCGCACAGCTCAAGTACGAGAAGAAAAACGTGTTGAAAGAATGTAAACAAACGTGTTATTGCAGGTAAATAGTAATAACAGATTTGTAACAGAACAAATTCAATACAACACACCAGTTAACAATAGTTTAATTAACAAATGGGAACGCATGTAAAATATGAAATCAAATGTTATTGCTCTTTCAGTGTAATTTCCTGTCACGTTTTCCATTTTCGGTGCTTTTATTATACAAAAAAAAAAGCACCTTGCGAAATTCTTTAATTTTACTTTCAGATATATTGATGATGTCCTATCACTGAATAACCCATATTTCAGCCAGTACTTACATCTCATATATCCTAGTGAACTTGAAATTAAGGATACTACATATACTAAAAGGACTGGTTCATACGTATACCTTGATCTCTTCCTCAATATTGACACAGATGGTGACCTCACATTAAAATCTATGACAAACGGGACGATTTCAACTTCCCAATTATCAATTTCCCATTTTTCAGCAGTATAATACCCTCTGCCCCATCGTATGGTGTTTACATATTTCAGTTGACACGTTATGCTCGTGCATGTTCACATTATACGGACTTCATATACAGGAAAGAAGAAACTGTTCCAACAAAGTTATGAGGAGGAAATATAACAAATATGGACACTATCACGAATTGGTTGATCCATACGATGTGTCTGTGTCTAAACTAACTAAGGACATTTTTACCACGTCTTAGATTGTGGTTTACCATTTACATCGTCTGGTCTTTTACGTATCAAACGTGACCTATTCCCGAATATTACTGTTTTGCTGAGTGTGAATTCGCATTGCTATAAGACGTGTCTCGGTATTTGTACATCCAACATTCATGTATTTGTAGTTGTAATTCTTATTTTTTTCTATTCGTATGCAAAAGTATAGATAATTGATAACCCAGTTCATTTATATGATTTTTATTTAAAGCAACTCTATGCAAAGGATTTATTTGTTTTACACAGTTTTATTTAGAAAGAAAAAAAACGACATGGTTAGATAATACAATTAATTACACAATTACTAACACAATTCTATATTAATATTTTTGTAATTGTTATATTAAACACCAAATAACATAATTACAAACCTAATCTCAATTTATATTCAAATTTTAAAAATTTACATGTGACGTCACTTTTTGTGTTGGTCATCAATTGGTGTGATGCTCAGTTCGTAATTCTACTATGTTGTTTGTGTGTACTGTCCTTAATTTATATTAGGTGTTCGTTGTTATTCTGTGGTTAACATGTCGAAATGTATTATTATATTATTTATTTATGTATTTCTCTGTCCTGAGTGTTCTTGCATTTATTTGTACTGTATTCCTGTCATGTAATGTTGTCATTTTAGCGGTATATTTATAACATTGCCATAAAGCGCGAGGTTTGGCTAGCCACAAAACCAGGTTCAAACCACCATTGTTTTCTTGAAATGACCTGTACTAAGTCATGAATATGACATTGTTATCTAATAGTTCGTTTCTATGTATGTCGCATTGTCTTTTGTGTTTTGTTGAACTGCAGCGTTTCTGTTGTATCGTTGTTTTCCATTTATAATTGATGTGTTTGCCTCGGTTGTAGTTTGTAACCTGGATTTGTTTTCTCTCAATCGATTTATGACTTTTGAACAGCAGTATACTACTGTTGTTTTTGTTTATTGTTTATCAATGTCACGATCCGGTAAACTTCGGCAACAAACTCGAATGTTAACTAGCTTACAATCAACAACCACTGCATGAAATAGTATGTGTCGATAAAACGTTATAGATGTCTGATAAATATAAAAAAAAAAATTGCATGCAAGACTTAGTTTAGTATATATGCATGCATTGGTTCAATAATTTCGATAGCATTTGTATAAAGACGGTATTATACATGCATCATATTAATACGTGTTTGAGGGAAACAGAGTGTTGGGCTACATAATGTTTTTTTTTTAAATACCAGAAGAACGAATCATGAGAAGAAAAAAATACACTGAAAAAAATCCGCTTTCGAAAAAACAAAATAGTACAATTGTTACATATGTTTGTAAACTAATTATATCAGACGGTTTAAATGATGACCTTGATTTATGTTTGGATCAAAACACGCGGTGACTCGGTATACAACTAGCCACGACATCTACACATCTTCGGGAGTGAACTGGTTCTATTCTTCTCCTTTAAAATAATGCCAAGTTGATGACTTCGTGCAGCTAAAGTAACAAATGATAACATATGAAAGCATTAGCATACAGAACACGGAAAGAAAAATATTTGAATTTTCTTTTCTTAAATCGATCAATGCCTAGTCTGAACCGTAATATAAAATATTCTAACATTCAATGGGATGTAATGCATTATGACCAATTTGTTTTTCACTAAATGTGTGATGATTATTGTAGTTTGTTTTTAATTGATTACTATTGAAAAGTAAGTACATTGTTTACCGTATGCTGGAAATTTTTCTTATGTCATTTTCAAAATCTTGAAACTAAACAAACAATTCAAATGATTGATTGTTACTCGCTTAAAATACAATGACAGTTCAAGTATATACTCGAAAAGAGAGCAATAGGAAGTGTGTTATAGTAGTAGTAGTAAGACATGTAAGATACACATTTAAAATTCATAAAATTAAAATCAGCTCGTCAAGCATGATTCAGAATTGGTCGATAAAAAAAGAAGATGTGATATGATTGCCAATGAGACAACTCTCCACAAGAGACCAAATGACACAGAAATTAACAATTATAGGTCACCGTACGACCTTCAACAATGAGCATAGCCCATACCACATAGTCAGCTATAAAAGGCCCCGAAATGACAAATATAAAACAATTCAAACGAGAAAACCAACGGCCTAATTTATGTACAAAAATTAAAACGAAAAACAAATATGTAACACATCAACAAACGACAACCACTGAATTACAGGGTCCTGACTTGGGTTAGACACATACATACAGAATGTGGCGTATGTATGGTTCATACATTGCATCAAGATTAAAAACGGTGTAGGTAAAATATATGTCATGTACCAGAATGCTTTAGCATGGTAAGTAATTTTTTCATAATTGTTAGTATGATACTGATTTGGGTCGTCTACAGTTAAGCACAGCCAAGTAGGGAAAAATTATTGGAGGAAATTTAAATTTTATTCAGTATGATTGAGATCAAATACTACCAATTTCAGACTGTCTGTGGCTAATAGTTAAAGGAAAGGGACACGTAAAACAAAAGCCATAACAACGTTACATTATGGCATTCTTCATTTTTATATGTTCACTACAGATAAAACAGCTAGAACATCTGATATGTTTGTTACGATAATGTCATTTCGATTGTTCTTTTTTCCTATTAGAAAGATGATTCGGAGAAAGCTTAATGTTAAATGCTTTGGATTTGTTTTAGTTATTTTACAGTGAAATAAGCGAACACTTACCCGGAACATTTACTGTTCTTGCATGAACTGAAAAAAAAATAAATCGAAACACCCGTACAAGTTTTATGATTATATTAAATGAATATGTATCAATGTTCCTTTTAAGTAGAGATGTTTATCGAGCAGCAGTAAACATGACTGATTTAGCTGACATTATAATACATGGCACAGCTAAACCGAAATAAAACGCGTTTTACCTGATGATCATGCAATTTGTCTCACTTATTCTATACATGATAATTGTGACTCAAATTTTCCAATTATAAGTTCTACTCAGTGTCGCTTTTAGCATAAACAAAAATCACACAAAATGAACTTATTATGGTTTAATGGCTCATTATTCCGTATTACTCACTCATAAAAAGACGGTTTGAATGATATGAATGCATTGTGAATTATTGAAATGTATTGTGTGTTCTAGGAAGTTTCTCGCTAGTTAACATGGTTAATACATGCTATCCGTTTATAAATTTAGAAATTATAAAGAAACTTAGGTTTCAACTCCCTCAGGAAAAGTGGACCTGCGATGGATATTTGTTTAAGTCCTTTGTTGTCATATAGGTCCTCGACTGTTTCCTTTTTTTTTTTTACATCATTGACTTTTATATATTCAGCTTTGAGCGTTTTTGATGAAGGTGATTCCAGAAAGCGCTTCGGACTTGTAAAATTTATAACTTGTTATTTTATTATTTTATACAAGCTTTGTCATGTATGTTAATATCTGTTAAAATACCAGAAACCAAATATATAAACAAGCAAACATTGAAATGTGAATAAAATCATACAAATTCAAAACGAAATAAGACCTCAACTTAAATCATGATCTTAATCTCCTGCTATGCGCATGCAGGAACGGATAGGGTTATCTCTTACCAAGTTTAGTAAAACAAATAGTTATATTCTCTAGGAAAATCAATTGCAGTGCCTACGTATTGTTGATACTCAATGCTCTTTGATTTCGTTCAAAATCGGTTATTCATTGACCACTCATCAGAAACGCGGGAAACGCGGACATTAATAGAAACGTTTTGAGCTATTTTACCAAAACGGACATGCAAAGAAAAGCAATTTTTTGAGTCTTTAGTTTTCTATGTTGTCTTTTGTGTACTACTGTTTGTCTGTTGGTCTTTTTCTTCTTTTAGCCATAGCGTTGTCAGTTTATTTTCGACCTATGAGTTTGAATGTTCCTCTGGCATCTTTCGCCTCTCCTGTTAAAGATCAACTATGCCCGAGTGAGTAGGAACCTAAGTTTGTTAATTTCTAAATTGATCAACAGGAATTTAAGAAAAAAATATGTAATAAATTATGAATCTTTATAAATTCCATGTGTCCAAAAACGCATTTTTTTAATTGACCCTATTTGAAGGACGCTTGACAAACAATGCAACTCCATATTCATTCATATGAACAAAAATGGATAGAAAACACACACACCGTAAGTTAAATGAAGACACACAATTGTGTGACAGTTAATGCATTATCTGAGACCAAAATATCAATCAGTACACATCCAACATCGAATGGATTTAGTTTAAATATGTCATTAGCAGTCAGAAAAAACATAACATTGTACAATGCCAAAATATAGGAATCATCAGATTGTAGTCAAAGGGAAAGTACATATGTAATATTTAGTAAAGTTTTATTTTAATGAAAGCAAAATCAGCATTCATATCAATAAAAACAATATTCAAAGATTCAATTACAGTATATGTTAACAGTTAACAACTTACTATTTTATATCAATCATTACTGGAGAATTCACGTTGTTCATTTAATAAAGTTGAGAATGAACGGGGAATGTGTCAAAGAGACAACAGCCCAACCAAAAAGCAGAAAACAGCCGAAGGCTACCAATGGGTCTTCAACACAGCGAGAAAATACCGAACCGGAAGCGGGCTGCAGCTGTCCCCTTAAAAATGTATACCTGAGCAACTACAATGGACGTCACATTAAACTCCAAAACATACAAATGAACCAAAAACATACAAGACTCACAAGGGCTAGAGGTCCTGAGTTGGGACAGGCGCAAAAATGCAACCGGGTTAAACATATTTTACTCTTAGATGCATAATGTGTGTTTTTAGTTGTTATTGGCTTTGAACTAGCTGTCAGTAACTGCAAGTGCTTTCAGATCTGTACTTAGCGTATTTATTTTTGTTGCGGGGATTTCTAAGTATCCTGCCACGTTTACTCTGTGTTTTTGTTTGATGTATTTCTGCTGAGTTAATGCCTTTTTAACTGATTTGTATAGTTTGTTATTATGTTGTACTGTTACAACACTTTCCCAGGTTAGGAATAGGGTTGGCGCACCTCCAACTAGTTTAATCCCGCCACATTCTGTGTGTGCCTGCAAAGTCAGCAACCTTTAATTCAGTGGTTGTAGTCTGTTGCTGTATATCATGTTTGTTTTTTTGTTCATTGTTTTGTATTAAAATCGGACCGTTGGTTTCTTTTTTTTGGGGACCGTTTATAGCTGACTATGCGCTGACTATGCGTTATGGGTTTTACTCATTGTTGAAGGCCGTACCTTGAACTATAGTTGTTAATTTCTGTGTCATTTGGTCTCTTGCGGAGAGTTGTCACGTTGGCAATCATACCACATCTTCTGATATTTTTTTTTTGTTAGATCTCAACCCTCCCCTTATACCTCTTGCCAATGTGGAAAAAAAAGCACACAGTCAAACTTTCTTCAAAGGATGTCCAAGTCCGATGTTAGATAACATTACAGAAGAAACTTAGCAAAATAACAATGATGAACATACATTAATAAAGGACTACTAGCAGTTACTGACATGTCAGCTTCAAACCTTAATTAAACTGATTGAAAGATTACATCTTCATCATATGAAAATCAAGCACAATCCCTTCCGTAAGGGATTTATTATAATACCATCATACAATATACGAGAAGAACTTAACCCGTATAATGGCAATAACTGGTTTTAGAGTAAATGTGTTTATTTCCGAAGCAAAGCCTCTATGAGCATGATGAATGGATTGATATTCATTTTTAAAAAAATGCCATCTGTAATGACTTGACAACAGTATCGTAACCATTATCACCTCTAAATAAGTCTGTTTTAAGATTTGATTAGCTTTAGAGGTGAATGACGACATTTCTTTGTGCTTTGTATAGAATATTACCATAAAAGATAGGATGAGAAATACCTGAACGTTTAAGATGTCTGTACGTTGATTTATATTTACGAATGATTTCCATGTACCGATGATATGATTTAGTAAATTTGTTGACAAGTTTGTGATATAGAAAAACACTGGTTTAATAATTTTTCAGTAATATAAAGATTTCTATTGTTAAAATCAAATATATTATTACATACACGAGCATATCGAACACGTTGGGATATATAAACACCATAAGATGGTGCCAATAGAACGTCACCATCTAAAAATGAATAATTACGATAAGAAACTTTAAATCGGCTCTTTTAAAATATGGCAGTTGTTATCAAATAATCCGTTTCTATGTTTGTTGGCGTCTGTTTTTGTAGCAGTTCATTGTTTATGTTGTTTCGTTCTTTTCCTCTTAAAGTTTATGTTTTTCCCTCGGTTTTGGTTTGTTTCCTGGATTGGTTTCATTTAAATCGATTTATGACCATTGAACAGCGGTAAACAACTGATGCTTTTATTAATTGTACATTTTAGTATTAAGGTTACCGTTAAAGATATAGATATCATATCAAGATCCAGGAAAGAACAGTGGTCATTGAGAGCATAAGCTTTATTTAAAGTCAGTTCAGCAAAATAAATCAATTTAGTGCATATACTTAAGTCGTCATTATTGAGAGCCAATATATCATTCTTATATCTAAAAGTGTTATCAAATTTTTGTATCAGATGTTGTTTCGATGGGTCTACTGTTTTTAATCATAAATTCTAATTTGTAACAATACAAAAACCGGTCCGCAATTAGTGGTGCACAGTTCGTCCCCATTTGCAGTCCGATAATTTGACCATATACGGAATCTCAATAGCAAACTAAAATGTTAACTAGGGTGAAATCAAGTGGAGTGATCATATTAAAGTAGGTCCAATTGACATAATTGATTTGTCTGTTGTTACGAAAAAATTACCAAAAGAGTTTGAACATACATATTCGCAATCTGACTTTGTAAAAGCCTCTTTAATTAGGTATGTGATGTTTTTCTTAATGAGATTATGAGGCAAAGTGACATATAGGGTAGAAAAATCTAAACTTTGAACAGATTTAAAATAACCAATATAAACAGACATTTATCAAGTACTTCCAACGAATTTTTCAACACTCCGAAAGTAATTAATTCAACTATTTTTAAAGCCTTAATTAAACAATGTATTACCAGGTTTTTTTATTGTACCAGGTGAACTAGTAAGTAGAACAGACAGATTTGTAATGGAACAATGGCTTGAAGACGAAAATAAAATCTATATTTTTAAGTTGTTTTTGCAGCTTCGGAAGCCAGTATATAGTTTGAACTTTAACGGTATTCGGTTCTGCTTGTAAAGAGGTAGCTTAAAGTTTATGTTTGTTACAGATATCATTTTCCGAAAAAATTGGTCAGTTGGAATGTTGGTGAATGCGTGATTATTTCCTCTTTGCCGAACCTCAATAGAAGATTTACGTCAAACAATAATGATGTTATAGGTAGTATTATCAGCTGGAGCAAAGACAAATTCTTTGGCGAGTTCTTTAGCTTACTTTTGATACGAGAAATAGGGCTATTATGCTTGTTGTTAGGAGTAAACTGTTCTTTAAAATGGTTACTATGAATATCTTGTCCATTGCTTAAGGATATTCGCTACTCAGTTTCTAAATAAGAAGCTTTTTAAATGACTGTTATAGATTGATAGTATATAAATATAGGACCTAAAAAAGCAGAACACAAGAAGGGTCAATGTGCTTGTTTTTGAAATAATAGCCATTGAAAATTTGAAGGGAAATAATTCTCTCTAGACTTTTCATACATTTAACATTAGCACCCTTTTTCTTTTAAAAATTATAAAAAAAAATAACAAGGATTTTACAGGATTTTCAAATAGGGTTTTTAAAACTATATGTAATAAAATTATGGAAAGAAAAGTAGGGGTTAGTGGGTAAAATGTTTTAATGGCACAACATGGATAAAACCAGATGATTCCGAAAATCTGGCAAAATTTCAAAGACTAGAAAAGCGAACATCTTTAATTAAAAAAAAAGAATCTAAGGATTTGTTGTCAGTTTTTTCTCGTTTTGTTCATTTCAGATGGTAAGTATGGAGTGCGTCGTGACTGCTGTTACAACACTCAAACCAATTGATAATTGACGGGAAACGATATTTAGATCCTTTACTAAGAACAGATTTCAACTCTCGGACCTGGACGATGTTAAGGTTTTCTTTTATAACAATGGAAATGGGGCCATACATGTATTTGGAATTACTGCAATTTCATGACGGAGGTGTCCTGTCACTGATAATAACATCTTTAGACACATCGCCATAATTAAACACGTATTTACGGGTCGATTTTTTGTAAACATAACAAATTATAGGGATCTCAGTATAATCAAAATAACAAGGAATCTACGTGTATTTCAACAAATCTGAATAACTTGAGGGAATAGGACATATTGCAATTACATTAATACCTCTTACATGACAATTGCTTGTTGGTCTCATGGACAACTGATTAAAATGAGACTAAAGTTGTATAGTGTTATTCTTTTTACGTATACATTTCTGGAAAAGTCATGATTGTTATATGATTAAGGTAAATATTTGTTACTTACATAAACAAACCTCGATCTCTAAAATATGAAATAAGAAATATATTAGTTTAGGAGACCTTTAAATTCATGTTAACTAATACTTGTATATTTATGGACTAATACTATTTGTACTATTAAAAACAAAATTCAAGTTCTCACACAGCTTTTTGTGCGCGTACAGGCAGACACGGCTGCCAACAATGTGGTGGTGGTATGACGTAAATACTACAAGGAAGTCCTTACAAATGAAAGTATACATTAAACTACATTCAAGGCCACATAGAGTCACATAGTTAATAAACATGAAACAACCACAGCGCAGCTTAAGCTTAAAGCCTCATCTTAACATTTGCAGGTCTCCACTATGTATTGGTTACTTAAACTACACAAAAATCCGTAAAACATCGTTTCATCTCGGCCTCTAGTAAATGTTAACGAGTTCATTGAATACAATCAAAGAACTGAAAATTAATTTTTAAAATAAAACATATGAAAATAGGTTAATTACCAATTTTTGGGTGTAACAGATTCTTTGGATGTTTTAGATAAATAACGTGCTTTTGATGGTCCTTTCGAACGGTTGGCAGTTTTGATGTTCCCACTCTTTAAGCTACACATCCACACAATCGTATCAAACAAAAGTTTTCCTATTTAATCAAATGGTCGTTCGATAAATATAATTGCAAATTTATTTCCTGCAACTCATATGAAGCATAAGCCTTTTCCTCATACGAGAAAGGTAAGCATGCTAAATATACTAACTGGAAATGTGAAAAGAAGAATGCAGCCATAAATGTTCTCCTTGCCAACATTTATCTACGTTTCGGCAAAAAAGTTTACCGACTGATTGTAGATATTCTTATGGGCAATAATTGGTGCATCATTATTATGCAGCTATAGCATTGATATTACATGTCATTGCTTTAGAGACAAGACCAAAAAGAAAATACCGAAACAGATGAAAAACAAATATGTACATTCGTTTATGACCTTCAACTCAAGCATAGTCTATTTTTTTATCTATCATTCTTTTTTTTTTAATAATTATAGTCGGGAAACACGTTTACTGAACTAAAGGTGCTCTGAAGTAAGTACTATAAGCTATTGGTTCACTAAACTTTCATCAATATATAATTACTTTCAATTAATAAACTTGATTTCACATGGACTTACGTATTCTGTCAAGCATAATCTAAAACTTCAAATATTTATTTATGTATGTTAGTAAAACCACCGTCAAAATGTTTAAACAATAAAGACGAATTATTAGTTGAATACATACCCATGATAGCGTGTTTGTTCGGGCTCTATTCTGCAAAACAAAAAAAAATCCAAATACTTTTTCCTAATTCAGTTTTTTTATCAATCACACATCTAAAACGGTAATTAGGAGCAGTCTGTTTTACGTGTTGTTTGTTCGTTGAATTTTATTACTGGAATATTTCTTTCACATATTATGTTTCGAATGTCTTGTCTTTTATTTTTAATCATGGTGTTGTTTCTATATCATTGACTTCTAATTTTAAATTTTCTATTGACTCCAGCTCCTTGATACCCTAATGGCTTTTCTCTATAATTACATTGTTTATCATTATCTGTTTAAATACTGTCAGTTTTTAATATTTTCTACTTAAAAAGAAGAAGGGGGACGAATACACATAGTACAGTATTCTTTTAATATAAACATTTTCATTTTATATCTATAACGTCAATTGCAGGTGAAATCTACAAAATTGAAAGAGAAAGCTTGCTTTGAAAAAGTTATCAACTAAACTTGGAAGTGATGTTTAACGAAAAGTTAAGAGTCATTAAGATTTTGAACAACTACTTTTTTTACTGTAAATTTGACATATTTTTGCTCAAATTATCTTTGTTTTGTAAACAAACAAAATCATGTTTCCAAATACATTCAGGTCAAATACGATGTGTAGACCAACAAGGAAACATGCGTGCCGGGTCAGTGTTTTTTTTTTTTTTTTTTTTAACGATAACAAATATTTTTATTCAATCATTTCCTGATATATAAATACCTAAGTAGCCCAGGTCGCATACTTAGGGGCCCCTGTATTTTAACAGCCTCACTTGACCAGGGAAAAAATCAAATGAATTTAAACTTACAATAGTTTTACATACATATATTTAAAAACCAATACTATCGATTTTACCTGTTAAGCATCACTGTAATACATAATCACTATCGTATATCCGGTTCACTGACTAACATGTGTTTATGTGTTTATTTAAACTTGAAAACTATATATTTGATTGAGAAAATTTGAATTGGAAATTATTGATGTGATTGAACAAAAATTGAAATTATTCTGTAATATATAAGTATGGATTATAAAAGGATAAAGCACATGTGGTAAGTACTAATATATTAAGAAGCATGATATATGTGGTAATTTACTAATATACATAATATGCACAGACATAGATTCAAATATCGATTACAATACAAATATTTCTTTCCGTAAAAATAACTTATTGTTCACTACGTTCTTTCTAAAATACAATAAGATTATTATATATGGAATCGAACACACCTTTAGTTTAAAGCAGTAGAACTAAGTATATCTTCTTATATTTTTTCGATAAAGAGTTCAATTTTTGATCTGCATATATACTTTATATCCGAGCGTAGCAAGAGTAGTTTTAATTCGTTTTTCATTTGCAATTTCAACAGGCTTTGTATAGACTGCATATTCAGTTTAATTTTATCGAATTTGCATTTATTACGTTTTTTCCAAATAGCCCATTTAAAATGAAGTACTAATGCATTAACAATTATATTATTCAAATTATCTGTACAGATTCCTATTAGAATATATTTTTCAACGAGCATCTCGTTGTTTATTAGGTTACAAAGTTGTAAATTTCTGACAACTGTTTCTACCAATGGTTTAACATTATTACATTGATAAAATAAATGTTCTAGTGTTTCAATATTATTATTTTGATCACATAAGCGACATTTTCCATTTGACATATGCATTATGCGGGTCAGTGTTTTGATTGTGTTGCCTTTACGGAAAAAAAGGTGTTAACCAACTCCTTCTCCTCTCGTGTAAAAAAAGACTGACTTGTATCACCTCCTGTACAATTATATAGAACAGTTGGCATAAATATCAAGAACACTCAAACATTATCAGTTGAGAGCCTGGAAATGTATAAAAACGTATTAACATTTAAAACTAAATAACCATAAGGGGACCACCTCAAAATAGTCAAAGTCAGCTAAGGTCACCCTTCATATAAGACATTATGCAATGAAATTAAAGATATTAAGTTAAACATACTAGCTTGCTTAAATTGTCGATTAAACATGTTAAAATTATATTAATTTATTTTGTACATTTACATTTTGTTTTTTGCAGACAAGTGCAAATACGTTTTGTCTTATTCGTGTATTTTAATTCAAAGAATCAAATAGACATATAAGCTTCTTTTATTGCCAATTAAAATCACATGTAAGCATACATTTTGTGCGTACACTTATAATTCCATTTCGACAATAAACAATCAGATTGCTGTATGTCTTAATCTCGTATTCTATCATTCTAAGTAAAAAAATAAAGTTCAATAAATCAGTAGAGTATAGAAAGTATAAATAGATATTAAACTTAATTACTACGTTTTCTGTGTCGCAATCAGTTAATTTAGACAACCTTTATATATTTTTTATTTTGTATTTTGTTCCTTAAAGTAATAAATACTCACATTGAAACCTGTTCTGTGCTGTAACAAAATGATGATAAAAATATCGTATAACAATAATGTACAACATATAATTGATTAAAAGTGTACGTTAATTGTTGTCAAATTCCAGTCACAATTATTTATAAAGATTCAACAGCAAGTTGACTTTAATTGATTATAAAATATCTACACAAGCAACTAAACAACAACCATTTCACGTTTAATTGACTTCAATCTTATTAACTTTTTAGAGATATTATCAATTGCTTTTATTTAAAAAAAACTTAAAAGGGTTGCAATATCTGTTTTCACCTGTTTGTGTCATAACATTTGATAAATGTAAGTAACGACTAATGGTTTTAAACCTAATTTCACTGTAAAGTACATCTCAACGAAGCAGTCAACGGACTTCTATTATACAAGTCACATGTTTAATGTGTTACCACTGGGTCGATGCCACTGCTAGTGGAGTTTAAATTCCCCGAGGGTATCACCAGCCTTGTAGTCAGCACTTCTGTGTTGACTTGAGTTATCATTGATATGTTCATAATTATAGATTTGTTACAAAACTTTGAATGTTTGAAATACTAAGGCTTTTCTACCTCAGGAATAGATTAACTTAGCTGTATTTGGCAAAACTTTTAGGAATTTTTGGTCCTCAATGCTCTTCAACTTCGTACTTTATTTGGCCTTTTTAACATTTTTTTATTCGAGCGTCACTGATGAGTCTTTTGTAGACGAAACGCGCGTCTGGCGCAAATATAAAATTTCAATCCTGTTATCTATGATGAGTTTATCTATTTTTGTTTTTCTTACCTGCACCAACTGCATTCATATCTGTACCTCTTATTTTGCAATGGTTCTGGTCTGAAATATGATTAATGAAAGAGTAATCTTCAATTTTGAAACATCATGCAAGGTAATTGCATATATAAAGAAGGTTTGTCACTATATCATGAACAAAACATACCTGATAACTGTTAAATCCAATTGACTTATTTATCAATAATATCCAATTTTTTGTATAAACAAAGATTATTATAATAATATATATTGCGATTATATTTTATGATTTTAAGAACAAGTTATTTTAAATTAGAAATATGAACTGAGATTAACTAAGTAGTGCAACAGTTGTTCACTCCAAGAGACTGACAACTTTGAGTATTGTAGTTGTATGTCAAAAAAGACAACGAGTAAATCTCAAGTATAGTATCTCGCTGTACTGGAAAATAAAACAATAAGATCATCGTTTGTATAATAAAAGCTTAGACCTGGTATGAAGTCATAAACATGACAATCTGTCAAAAGCAGACCTATCCTTAATCCAAGTCAGGATCTGTATTTTTCGTAGGACTGGTATGCAGCAGTCTTGTCCTTGTGACTTTAAAGGCAAAACCAATTCGAAGTTGAAGAGAATTGAGGACCTGACAATCTGAAAGATTTTTGAAAATTCCGAGAACTAATCTATTATTGACAATTTCCTTGATGTAGAAAACACTCAGACTTGGAAGACACTGAAACATGTGACAATGTTGAATGTAAGTCCCTATTTCATCGCACTAAGTTGAATATGTAAGAGTTACTTGTAAATGACATATCCGTAATTTGGGAAGAAACGTGTGAAGTAGAGCAATGAATACATTGTCGTTAAGTAAACTTATTATTTCTACGCGTCTTAAAAATCAAAAATGTAATTCAAATATAAAAAAAGGAAGATGTAGCACATGATCCGTAATTAATAAACATCGGCGTCTAAAAATTCAACGCTTTTTTATGAATCAACACACCATCTAGAAAGGCAAGCTTTTTTTATGAATCACCAAACCATCTAGAAAGTCAACGCTTTTTGATGAATCACCACGTCGTCTGGAAAGTCAACCCTTTTTTATTACTCACCACACCATCTAGAAAGTCAAGTCTAGAAAGTCAACGCTTTTTCATGAATCTCCACGTCGTCTAGAAAGTCAACGCTTTTTGATCAATCATCTCGTCGTCCAGAAATTAAACGCTTTTTGATGAATCACCACGTCGTCTAAAAGTCAACGTTTTTTTATGAATCACCACGTCGTCTAGAAAGTCAACCCTTTTTGATGAATCATCACGTCGTCTAGAAAGTCATCGCTTTTTGATGAATCACCTCGTCGTCTGGTAGTCAACGATTTTTCATGAATCACCACACCATCTAGAAAGTCAACGCGGTTTGATGAATCACCTCGTCGTCTAGAAAGTCAACGTTTTTTTTTAATGAATCACCACACCATCTAGAAAGTCAACGCTTTTTGATGAATCACCACGTCATTTAGAAAGTCAACGCTTTTTGATGAATCACCACGTCGTCTAGAAAGTCAACCCTTTTTGATGAATGACCACGTTGTCTAGAAAGTCAACGCTTTTTGATGAATCACAACGTCGTCTAGAAAGTCAACGCTTTTTGATTACTCACCACACCATCTAGAAAGTCAACGTTTTTTGATGAATCACATCGTCATCTAGAAAGTCAACTTTTTTCATGAATCACCACGTCGTCCAGAAAGTCAACGCTTTTTGATCGATCAACTCGTCGTCTAGAAAGTCAACGCTTTTTGATCAATCACCACGTCTTCTAGAAAGTCAACGCTTTTTGATGAATCACAACGTCGTCTAGAAAGTCA